AAGGCACACAAACTGCGCAAAAATATGAGTTGACACTCAAACCAAACCGACAAAACAATGTTTTGAATTGGAGCAAGCTCCGTGCGTCAGCATGCAGCAGGCGCCATAAAAGGAAGAGGAAGGGAGATCACTCCGTGGCTCTGTCATCGAGATAGAGGTTACGTCACGGTAGGGAGGTAGGGATATTTGAATCTTTTGTTTTTGGGCTACAAAGATGGGTGTAGGTATTGTATATGCATACTAAAGTTATGGTAATTATTACTGAAATGAAAAAATTCTTTACTGAAGTAGGATGGACTACACTAATTGAAAGACGCCAAAAGCATAAACTTATTCAATTTTATAAAGACCTTCCCCTCCTTCTTACTACTACTCTGGAGAAGAAAAAATGCCCAAATATACCATACCAGACTAAGACTATCATGCAGCACTCTAAATGACCACCTATTTAAAAGACAACTTGTAGAAAGTCCAGTATGTACATGCGGGGAAATAGAGGATAATACCCATTACTTACTCATATGCCCGAACTATAATGTTTTACGGCAAACTTATTTATTATCACTATCCCACAACACCACAACTAATTTTACCGGAAGCAGTTAATCTTGATATTTTTACATCTGTGCAGAATGATATCATGCAAAGCAGGCGTTTTAACTGAAAATATATGATAATCGACGTATATGTACTTATTTTAAATTCTTTTCTATGTAACAGATGTGCTAAGCCATTCTACATAGTACTTGTTTCCGAATCGTTGTTGATTATATATTGAAAATATAATGTATTGTATATTACCAGAAATAGAAACAGTTTAAACTAAATAGACTGTAGAAATATGGAAAGTGTACGAGCTAAATATACGGTCATTATTGTTGGATAAATTAAAAGGTAATTAAAATGTTAAAAATACCAGCTAAAGGAACGGTTATTATAGTGGTAAAAACCTGCAAGTACATGATAATCTTTCATGGTAGTGAAAGAATATGAGCTAAATTGACCATGTTACCACAAGACAACACGGATATTAAAAGGGATGTTGCATCGTTATCATCTTAAAACACATCGATCTGTATAAAGAAACCAGTCAGTCTATTACGACAAACAGCACTCAAAGGCGACATAACCGTCTATATCAGCTTTATTTAAAACCCAACTTTCCCTCAGATTGCAAATGGATGAAACATTTCTATAACTAGTGATGAAGAAGCACATAAACCGCATTAAAGATTGTGAATAACCATAGCAACAAAATCGATTGAAATTCAATGTTCGGAGCTGTGTTTCTGTGATAAAGCGCTCTATTAGGACGACAACAAGAGGTCCGATCAAAGCGTTGATTGGAACTAGTTAACGCTTAGGCCAAGCACTATATAGCCTCCAAGTATTGAGGAAAACCGTAAACGATCTGTCTCGATATAGCTGTACCCAGGTCGTACACGCAAGCCAATCTTGTTAAAGGCTAGGACACAATGCCAATTACTGCCCAGATGTTGGAGATGAATTCTCAAAAAACGGTTGCTTAATCAATGACGCTATAATATTCAAGAGCGAATTCAATTACATCCATTACAACACAAATCGTTATATTGAGTTATTAAAAAATATGGATATTTTACAAACTTACAGCATAGCGCTGAAGAGGTGTCCGTAAGATTAAACCTTAGGGATCCGTATGCGATTAATGGATGAAATAATCTATTGCATCAAAAACGGGCAACCGCTTAGAAAAACAGCGAACCAATACGCATCTAACCAAACTCATCACAGAAGTATTTCGAATTAAAGAAATATTCTATAGTAAATCTACGTCATTTTAAGAGTGTATTCCTTTCATTGACATGTTTATATTGGCATGCATGTGTGTATTTTCCTTCTTGCATTTTATCAGAGGGTAATGGTCATTAACTCCGTGACACATGTATTCCGACTTCGTCTACTAATTATGAAATGTAATTGATTCCAAATGACCCTAATTAATCACAAACAATTAACTCGTTAGTGCTTGATATTTGCTTGATTTCACATGAGTTTAATGAAACAGTAGCCAATACAAGTGAACTAACAGTACAAGTGTTATATTTAAAATCACATTTAATTTAAACACTTAGTTATGCATCCAAATATAATTAATTTGTATATATTTACTCGTTTGTATCGGCATTGAAGGGACAACAGACAAACAGGAGTGTTTCGAAAGTTTAAATGCTGATCGAGCAAATTGACATACAATGTCAGTGAAAATATTTTAACATTTTCAATGGTGTATGTAAGACTAATACAACATGATAAATCAAACAGGAAAAATAAAGAAAAATATAGTATGTATATAAAAGGACAGTTATATTGCTAACAATTAAAAATTGAGCTACATTTCTGCAATGCAATGAATGTTACTATTTAAAACGGCGTATCTTGTTCGGTGTAATACAAGAAACAAATGATATCCTATTTGAAATAAAATGCACATTTTTACACATGTATAAAAACAAATTTTGCAAACAAGCACGATGAAAAGAAGAGAAAAAGAAAGAGAAAACACATAAAATCAATAATCTTAAATTCGAATTTTCAAAATTGCAAAAAACCTATATGATAACATCTGTTAGCTGAACTTACCTTGTGGGGTTATCTTCGATATAAATCAGACCACGTGTCTGAGGAAACTGTGGGTACTGGTGTTGTAACTGGATTACTCAGGTGAACGTATTGGTGATGGCACAAGAGTAGTTACCTGTCGTGAACACACTTGGGTTGTAAACGTCTATGTATTTACCTAGGAGTACAGGTAAACGTTATCGGTATATATCACCGCTGTATCCCGTGATACAGGTAAGGGGGCTCACGCAGGGGAAAATCATAACGAAGTCGAATTGTGCTGCTGATATATTTTGAAACTGCCAGATACAAACCAAACTACATTAGTTGTTTCGAGTAAGGACATGTGAGCTACACCTACTGCCTTCCTGATAGGTACCGTATTAGATTTGGTCTTAGTTCGTAGCTGTGAGATATTTGGTAGGTGTCGCCTACAATGGTGTTTTTCCTTACAAATATTAGTGGTAAGATAGTTAGATCGTGTCGCAGACTTAAACCTTTCACCCCTAGGTAACTTTAGTAGACTCTGCCATGCATTTATAGGGTGAGTCCATTATTGTCTATGGTGGTGAAAGGGATGAGGTAGCTTAAACGGATAATTACAAAAGTAGGGTGGTATTAATTGGTTTTGTACAAGTGTGCTACGTAGTTATTATCGCAGCATCCTAGAGGCTCCTAAGGGGAAACTCGGCCGATACGTACATACCATGACTACATTATTATGCTACTAAAGAGGTACACGAGGGGATATAGTCGACAAAAAGGATAGATATTGGGCTAAATATCATCGCTGCATCACTGAGACTCATGTGTGATTACGCAGTTGTTAAAATAATAATTAACATATGACGAGGATAAATAAGTAGTGCAAATATAATTAACGAATGCCGCTTCAGCTTGAGTTGCTTTTTAAATATTTTCGAATCTCGAATAATATATTCCATTATAGTATACATATACAGACATATATTGATTATATCTATTCTACCATGTGCAATGCAATAGAAATAGGTTTCAAACTCAGTGCCCATATTATGTGAGTAAATATTCCAGTTATTTAAAGGGACATCACGTGAAGAGCCATATTTTTTTAATGAATGTGTGTATTGAATGCACTTCAACTTATGTTACCTCGCTATCCCCATATTCATAGTCCGTTCCAAATCTCCAGTTTGACGACTTAAATTGTTCGGGAAAGCTCTGCTAAAAATAGCGCCGATAATGACTATATATAGGTACGGTTTCCAAAGGGGCCCCCAGAGAGGGTCCGTCAGGCTACTGCAATTTCTTACCGCACTATGAAACCAAGTAATCTGATTTCTAAGTCCGTATTCAAACTTATTGAACAGTAATTATTTATCATCAGATGTTAATTGCATACTTGCCAATAATCAGAATTTAAATTTATTTAGCTTTTAACATATTTGTTGCCAATAAAATTGAACAAGGGATGGGGCACAAGTTTTTACAATTTATCACAGCCTTCTCCCGTCATACATTTACAATTAAATGTCAACAATGATAATAGGCATAAACATAAAGTAGATACATATAAATATATAATGAATTTATTACCGGAATGTGACCGGTACCACGGAATAAGTCCGTGCCGGTACAGATGGTACGGGGCTAAACACCTTCCCTCAACCATGGGACAAACCTTTCTGTAAAAAGGAATATTCACGAGACGAATATCCCTTTTCAAATGTTTTCATAAAGTGCATACATGCAATGACAAAATACACGCGTATAAAAAAGGAGAACGTTTGTGATTTTNTTTTTAGCCATCACACACAATAAACTGTATGGCAATACCACTACGTGTATATGTAGAATATGTGTCAGATATGGAACGTGTTGAGATACTTGATCATTATATTTTTTCAATTCTTTACATAGATTAAAGCATTCTTGTAAATGGAACCTTTTTTATGTTGAGACAACTTTTCTTTAATCATTTCATTTTTGTCCGAAACAGAAGCCGTAGTTATCGGCAGCACGCGTCATTTTTACAACGTAAACAAATGTTTTCCCCTGTTTTCAATACGTATTCCGATTCTATCTGAAGTCGAAAATTAATTCTTTATAGAGAAAAGGTTGTTACAAAAGCAACCATTCTAAGTCAACATCATATAAAAACATGAACTATTGAAAAATTTCGATTTAAAAAAAAAAATGTTAGCGATCCTATTTACTAGAAGAAGGTTCTCCTTAAATTCCTCAGTTATTCATCCTGGTCCGTCATTTTGACATTTTTAATCTAGCTGCGAAAACGTATACGTAGCTTTCTGACGAAGAGCGATGTTTGTATGTATTGCGTCGTCGCGCCATAGGAGGCCGGATATTCGTATTAGTACTAATTTAAATCTTGCATGTTAAAACACCTTTTTTTTTAAATCAGCAATATAATAAAATCATACCATTTTACTGAACCCGGTAATATTATAAATTATGTAAATCTAATAGCGCACGTCATTTGACCCCGACCGCGCGAGACGCCGTGGCCATCACAACAGTTATCCCTTGGAGGGCCTCATGGCAAAATCAAACTGACCAGTCATTTATCGCTTCCTTTCGCAAAAACCAAAGTAACTCTCTCCGATCCATGCCCATTAACATATTAAACTAAGTTTATCTGTGTTCAAACTCAGACAAAGATACAAGCGAGGTTAATAGTTTTAGATATTTATTCATAACATAAACAGCGCTAGCATTTCTGTCGATTCCATTTCAGCTTAACCAGCTATTCGGAAGAATACATGCACCGAACTAACTGCTAGGGCAGTTATTTTCTCCTTTGAATACTTCCCACCTGCAATAATGATTCCGTAACGTACTTCTTACGCTATCTTTTGACCATTTGGCAACTTTTCGCTTCGTAGCTGACACGGTACAACACTTACAATTACTTCACACGGCCAGTCATTTTGTTTACAAAGAAATGGTGTGCTATGTGCATGCGCTAGTAGAGGGAAATCCCTGAACAAAACGTTGGTCAGACAGGTGGAAATACCGATGATTATCTTAAATTTAATCATTTTTTTGAATCTGTTTCAGCCAAATCCGATCGTTATTTTCCATAAGAAATGGATACTTGATATGTTTATGTAGTATTTGAAAAAAAGACAAGTTACTTCACCGTGATCCTTTAAAGTTAACCGTAATTTTGCGTGTGCAAATATTTAGTACTTGATGCTTTTTATTTCATAACAATCTGTGCGTTTTGATTTTAGTCATTTTTGACGCTTGGAAAATTGTCCAAATTTGGCTGTGCACCTGGACATATTTGCGCAGGAATGTATTCCTCACAATTGGTAATATTTGCTGACAGGTCCGCGTGGTCGTCACGTCACTTCATTCCTTGTCCGCACTACGTATTGCTAAGCGAAGTTTTAGTATTGCTTATTTGATTGGTCTCAGTTAAAAAAAACACCTGAACAATCAGTAGGCTGATACATGTCCTTTGAAGATTACAGAGGCACGACATCCCACTTCAAAGCAAGCCAATTTTTACCATCACGCGACCCACAAATTCTTTTGATGTAAAGATGTACATTAAAGGATCAAACTAGTCTTCTGGTCTCAACAACAAGGTTGTACAGGCTGAGCCTTCGATTCGGCCATGATATATACCAGGAGTGCAGAGAGTGAAAGTTAGCGTAACTCCTGGATTATCGAGGATGTTATATAGGGTAATGGCAACTACCTGTTCACCCGTTGTCAGTATAATTTGACCGGGCGGCATCAGATCCGCACTATCACAAGGAGGCACAAACCTAATTTACACACATGAAGACATACACAACAAACATGGAGGCCCGTCCTGTTGATAGTACGTTTAACAAAATAAAACCAAACCACACCAATTTGAACTTTGATGGTATAACTCTCACACGTATTAGACACTGGGCAGAATTAAGGAAATGTTTGTCCCTAATTAAAACGTTAAAACCTCGATGTATTGTCATTATCCGTCAAGCAAAATTTCGGCTTTATGCCGTGGGCGGTTTAACAGAACAGACAAACTATGTATATCACATGCGTTTACTATGATAAAGTGTATAAAGAAATCTGTTATTAAACGTGTCTTGATTTTAGAAAAACCAGAAAAGATAATCTACTATCTATAAGACTACCCCTTTACACAGATTATCTGTCTAAGACGACTGTTGTTCTCCCCTCCAACCTTTGAATCGTTGGATTGACGTAAATCAGGCTTCGTAACACTTTGCAATTATAGAAGACAGTTGGTTTTGTTTTGTTTAGTATTGTTTAACGCCCTATCAACAGCTATGGTCATTGAAGGACGGCCTCCCCTGTGTGCAATTTCCATGCATGAAGTGTATGCATGTGTGTTTTGGGAGGCTGCGATATGTTTGTGTTTGTCTCCTTTTGATAGCGCAGATCTAGAACTAATGCCGACTTTATAGTACTACCTCACTGAAACATACTGCCGAAGACACCCAGCAGGACACCTCACCCGGTCACATTATACTGACAACGGGCGAACCAGTCGTCCCACTCCTAAATTGCTGAGCGTTAAGCAGGAGAAGAAGCTACCATTTTCACAGACTCTGGTTTGTCTCGACCAGGGGACAGAACCCAAAGCCTTCCTTATAGGGGCGAACGCTCAACCCAAGGCCAAAGGTGAGGCATTGTCAAGGGAGACATGAGAAGAAGAGAAGAGAAAAGATAAGATCCCAAATTCAGTCGCCTCTGAGGATCATGCAATAGGGGCAGCAGGTACAATTCTTACGCCCTACCTGCAAGGACTAGTAGACAGTTGTGCTTCCAAACTTTTCAATTACATTTAGCAACAGGACACTAATGCTTGGTTTCTATACGCATATACATGTACATGTATCATGTATTATAAGTCTGCACATAGACCAATATTCTGTCTATTTACTGCGGTTCCTGTAGTAATAGTTTTAAAACGTAAAATGGACTCATGATTAAAAAATAAGAAACATAGGAAAACTATCTGAGTATAGCTCATATAAAGAATGTCCTTCTCAAAAACAGCGCGCGCATACTCAACATTGGTGCTACAGTTAAGCTATCCGCCGAATTAGTAAACTGTTTGGCATGCACTTAGGTCGTTAGTGAATTGTTTGACATGCACCTAAGTTAACCAACAAATAAGTGAATTATTTAATATACACTTAGGGTAACTGACAAATTAACCAACTATCTGATATTCCCATAAGATAACCGGCAAATTAGTTAACTATCTGCCATACACTTATGTTAACCGATAAATTAGAGAACTATCCGATAAACACGTTTTTGTTTTGTGTCTCCGTTGTATCGCCCTTTGTACCATTGTAAGATTCTGAATGATT